TTTTGTTAACAAATTCACGTCGGCCTAGCAAAAAACGCAGCACATCAAATTGAATTTTAATGTTAACTCTACCCAATTGACTGAAGATGGTTTGGCTGTTAAGCTAAATACTGATAAGGAAATGACCAATTCTCAGGTGTTGAAGAAATCATTGGTTATCAAGGTGCTAGGACAGGACATACCGTTCTCTGTTTGTAGTCAAGAACTCAGACGGCAATGGAGTATGTATGGAAGTTTTCATCTGACGACATTGGGTCGTAACTGGATTCTGTGTTCGTTTGCTAACATGGAGTCCATGGAGGAAGTTTTAAGTGGGGGTCCCTGGTATATTGGGAACCACATTATCGATATGGATATATGGTCATCGTCCTTCTCCACTGAATCGCTAAAGGGTATTACGTCTCCGGTGTGGATTCAGTTTCCTGTATTGCCCTTAAGCTGCTGGGATGAGGAGAATATCCCCATGATTGCTTCTATGATCGGAGTTCCCATGATGCTTGACGGGAATTCATTTAAATGGGGTAATGGGATGATTTTGTGAGGGTATTTAAAGACTGGTTTATTCCTCCATCAGTCGGACTAGCTCTGCAAGACAAATTCTTCAATTTGATTTAGGGTTCAAAGATTGTTATGCAATATGAAGCATAATTCACTTCGTATCTTGCTATGGACCTCATTATGTCAACACCTAAGAGGAAAAAAATGCTATAGATTTTTTAGAGGTCTCAGGGATCAGCTGAGACTAACATTGTCTTCTTTTGATATTAATGAATTCTTTGTCTTAGTTGAGAGAGCTAGAAGGATTGAAATTGAGCTGAAATTCTCTAAGTATAATTGGGAGCACCAAATAGGTAAAAAATATATATTTAAAAAAGAGGATCAATTCAGAACCATGAAGCCAAAATTTAATAATAAGCAGAAGCCAACTCAACCTGAGAAACTTCTATGTGACCAGTGTTAGAAGAGAAATTCTTACTAGTGTTTAGTGGTTTATAGAAGAACTTTTAGATGTGATGAATTGACTCATTGCAAGGTGGACTTCCCTCATTATAAAAGAAGCAATGCTATGCATGCCATAGGGATATCATGGATATTAGAAGCATGGAAAATATAGGAGATATATGAAAGGAAATCAAGCAAGGAAAACTCAATTTCAGGGAAAGTTAACAATTCAATGGAAGCCACCATTCTGCTAAGAGGAGAAACATCAGATGTTAAAGGTAATCAATTTATGAAAGCTCGAGTATTTGTCATCAAATCTTAGGAAGTTAAAGATTTGGAGGAGGTAGTTACAGGTAAACTTTTAATTTCCAATAAGTTTGGCCGAGTTTTTTTTTTAAATTCTGGTGCATCCTAATCATTTATTTTTGAAGAATTTTATGTTGAGACCATGTGCTTTACACCTGCCTTATGTGTTATGATGCAAATATGATGTGTTTTTTGAATCTTGATATTTACAAAATTTTAATAGAGTTGGTTTTAGTGTTTATTAAAACTTTTTATATCTTTGGAAATGAATTAGCTAGTTAAATATTTTGCCACAATTGAATGTTGGAAGAAAAGGATAAAATTTAGTTTTCCAAATGAGAAGACCTTATTTTCCTTGGAAGAAGAATGCAATATCTTTTCTTGTTAGTACAGTGACGATGAGTAAATATCTAAGGAGGGTTAAGTTAATATTCTTAACTAAAATGAAGGTATTTATTAAAGATATTCAGGCATTATAAAATATTTTAGCTGTATCAAAATTTTAAGATGTATTTCATGAAGAATTATCTGGGTTGCCACTTGAAAGGAAGTTGACTTTGGCATGGAACTGTAACTAGGAACATCGTCAATCTACAAGTCTCCTTATAGAATGGCTACAAAGTAATTGTAGGAATTGAAAGCTCAATTATAGAAATTAATGAATAAGGGATTCATCATGACTAATAATTTACCTTGGAGTGCACATGTATTTTTTGTTAAGAAGAAATATGGATCCATGCGATTGGTATTGACTGATACTCTATTGAATAGTCATGCTCCTTTAATCTGACTGTTGTTCAAGATGCACGTATAATTCAACCTATCATTCGAAGCAAAATCATTCCTAAAGCAGGCGACAAGGTCAACATCACACCCCTTCTATCCCTTATCGCATATTTCATTATGTCTGAAACTGACTTCAATGAAGAAGACTTGATTATCCACCAAATTGAAAACTTGGCAAGTATTAGAGATCCCAAGAATAAATGCAAGCAAACTCCAACATTTGGACACCTCATAGCCTTTATTTATTTATTGCATTTCTTAAGTCAAAAGTGTTATAAAATGTGTATGTCAACTTAACAACCATGCACACATACACACTGGAGAAAAAATTTAAGTGTTTTAACTTAAGTGAAGACCGTCTAGTACGATTTGAGTAAACCATTGATTAATTAAAACATTTAATTTAGATAATATAAATGTGTACTAATCATGCTATACGATCCACATCGTATAGGACAATCAATTGAACTCAAAAAATCATGTTGTCAATCACAAATTAGGCAATATTTTAAAATTAAAAAATTGAACTAATCATATTGTACGATTGTCATCGTATTATATGATGACATTAAATCGTCCCTAGTCTAATCCTATAATTAGGAAATTAAATTAGGATTAATTGATATTTCATATCATACTGTATAATTACTTGCATTGTATAGTATGACCCGATTTGCTCCCAAGATGATACTTAATTGTCATCGATCGTACTAAACGAAAATCTTATTCGATTGAACCAATTGTACTGTACAACCTTGACATCGTCCTAAATGATTTGTCCAATAATTTGAACTAATCATAAAAACCCTTGTTCATCATACAATACTAACATGATGTATTAAACTAATCATAATGTATGTTTACATATATTACTATAGAAAAAAATGACAGAATTAAAAAATTTAGGGCTTTTTGAAAGCCTTGTACTTATGCTCTCTTATTAGACTTTGAAGATGATTTTTCTATTGAGACATTTTCTATTAGAGTGCTTTGAGAAGTCAACTTCTTAAGAGATCTGGGAGTTTGGAGAAGGAGAAGTTGTGTGTGAGGGAGAAGAAGTGTGAGGGGATTTCAAGCGGTTGTTCTAAGAAATCATCTACCTTAGTTCCTCCATGTGTCTTTGTTGATCTTTTGGGTTGCTCTGGCAAGAAAGAATTCCAAGGCCGAAGATAGTTAGGTTCTCTGCCTCACAAAGAGGGTGAAAATGATTCTAGGTTCTCTGCATCACCAAGATGGTCAAAAAGATTCTAGGTTCTCTTCCTCATCAAGAGGGTGAAAATGATTCTAGATTCTTTGGCTCAGTAGGAGGTGAAAAAGATTCTAGGTTCTCTATCTCACAAAGAGGGTGGAAAATATTTTGGTACTCTACTGCTCCGGATTGGTGGAAAAGCTATTGTAAGGGCTTCTCTGCCTTGTTGTCGGGGCTAAATGAGAGTCACTAAAATGTTTACTGCAATGCACGAAGATGAGGATTATGGGGAGTGGATGTAGGTCAAGATTTGACCAAACTATAAATATGGTGTGCTCGTTCTACTTTTCTTTATGCTTTTTATTTTCTTTCATTTTAATTTTCCATGCATGTTATATTTTTGCAAGCATTTGTTGAGCTTTATTTTGTTTTGAATTTGTTGGAAAAAGAAAATTAAAAAATTTAAAACAAAATAAAATAAAATATATCTTCACATTTATTTTTTTTACAAAAATTCAAAAGAGCAAAAAATATTTATTTTATAAATTTCTTCTCTTGATGTTTGTGTAATTAGTTTTGAGTTTTTGAAAGAATATTTTCAGAGAAAGTTTTAAAACACTAATGCCCCCACCGCCTCCCTCCCTCTTAGTTTGTCTTGGGCAGTTCAAGTGGTTTGATAACCCATCACTGAACTTTCAACTATCGTGGAGGCATCATCACCCTTATTGATGTTGAATGTGTGGCATATTAATTTCCCCAAATTTATCACAGTTTTGAGGTTGTTGGGTCTAGATAATTTTAGTCAGCTTAGGTATATTAGGATGCATCATAACTTGCTAACAACTTTGGTAAAGCGATTGTCACCCAGACAAACACATTCCACTTCCACATTGGCGAGATGAGGGATGACACTCTTATCTTAGGTGTTCATATTGATGGCCCTGCTTTGGTTGGACACAACATCATTGGTCCGGGTAAACATTAGGTTAACTAGCATGATTATTGTAATGACTTGTGTGGCCACCACCCAGAGCCTGAGCAAGTTTATTACGATCCATTATCATGTTAGCTCCAAATTTAGGATGGGACAAGCACATGTATAGACATGTTTCCCTCTTAAATGATTATGTTGAACTTTTTGAAGGGATTCAAATATTGACTTGTCTAAGATGAATTTTTGGAGGCATGTAAGAGCTTATGTTCTATTTATACTGGGCTATTATTTTTTAACTGATACCTCACAATCTGAGATACACTTAATGTTTCACCATTACTAGAGGACTTTAGATTATTCAATATGTACTCACTAGGAGGTGCATTTTAGCACACCTGTATAGAGAGCTGTCTAAGTCAACCAAGCCAAAAAGGGCAAATCTTGTTGTGTGCATACTTGTTATAGATTTGGTGTTGGGAGTACATACATGTAATCCATCCAACGCTTCATGTTCCACACCATACTAGTTTTAATGAGTTGAGTGTTGGTTATAGGTACGAAATATTCTTAACTGTAAATTAAAATGTGATGAATGTTCAAAAATGTGATTTTAATTCCTATGAGTACTTCTTGTTTTTATTACAGGTGGAATAAGGAGGATGTTAGACAACTTCCTTTAGCCAGCATTAGTACTTATAAGAATGAGTTAGATGGTTTACTGGATAGCTATATATGCAATCTACTGCTAATTGTTTTTGCACATTATTTAATAATATTTTTTGTTACTAGTTATCTATTTTGTTTCATTAAAATAGGTAACTTGGGAACCTTACACAGCAATCATTCGTTCACAACTTCGAACACACTTATTTTCTTAAAACGGAGAGCACTCTTCAGCCCTTTTTTGGTATAGACGATGATATAGACATCCAAAGGACTAATAACATAATTAAAAGCCGAGTGAAGAGATGCGAAGACATATGCATACTACCGATGAGAGCTACATAGACGCTCCACATACCGAGCACACATCCTTTAGTGCTACTCCATCGTTAGTGGATCCTCAATCCATGGTAGCATGGCTATCCTCTAATGAAGATCAGGGGCCATCTTAGGATTTCTTCAGTCATCCAACACAACAAGTCGGACCGTCATGGTACACACCAGATTACATTCCATCCAATATATTGCTAATAGTTAAAGATCTAGTCATAGGTAATGCAGGCAGAATGAGCTACGAGATAAACCACTTCGAGCACCATAACACTACACGCCTTGTCTAGACGCCATACCATGCAAAACACAGAAAAAACGTTAGAGTCAATTTTGTTGGATTTGTTAGCATGATGCTTTATTGTTGTATTTCTCATTTCATGCTTGATTGTATCTTGGACTCATCTTAACTTTAGTAATATGATGTATCAGTTTAAAAATATCAACCATTAAAATTTTTGAAGCATTAAATTTCTCAACAAAGAAAATACATAAGTTTCATTGATAGGAGATGTTAAACTACTAAATAAAATAGAACAAATAATGCTCTACCATCCAACTTTTACAAATAATGAATAACTTATATAACACAACATAGAATCTACTATATCATTTAACTAAACATTAAATATGAACTAAACAACACCTCCACGAACATATTACATAACGAGTAGTGCCAAATTTTATTTACCCTTAATCAGCTTATGCAAACATATTTGAAATTTATTTTGGGTTAAATAATAATTAAAATGAAACTTGAACTCGCACTACAGATCAACCAATCAGCTAGATCAAAATAATGTCTTCTACCTCCATTTAAAATTTTTATCATCCAATTTCTATAAAATTTAGAATAAATTCTTCCTCTCTTAGAACCCAAGGATAATAAAGAATAACATGGTCAAAGTCTTATGCTAAAATAGAAAATTCTTTCGAATAAACATCTTCTCCTTCAGATCGCAGCTGATGGTAACGCATCTGGAAGACGTGAATATCGACGATATGATGATCATGTTCGTAGAATCTCCACTCTACATATATTCAATCTTTACCATTCAAAAAATTCTGTCCTGTTGGCATAGATCCTCATAATTTTTCATGTAAATTCATAACTAAACTATCAAGATCTTCATTCCACTGATGCATGCAACATTTAAAAATTTTATTTTTCTCTCACCTTCAACTCCAAAGGACTATCTGGACATCTTATCATACATTGTTGTAATCGTATGCTTTTAGTTTTTAGTAAATCTTGTGTGGGAATGTCTTCAACCTTCTCAAAACTTGGCCAAAACATTATGAACAAAATGATATATAATCTTAAACTTCAAGTATTAGGGAAAACTAATCTCACTAAAGCAACATCAATGAACATTCTTCATTGTCTTCGTATGCATCCTTTATATAGAGGAGGTTGAATATACAAGATATTTATACTCAAATAAATTTTTTTTTTAAGCATATGTGAAAGTTAGTTAAAATCGAATAAAAATAAATGGTTTAAACCACAACTACTATGACAGGTTGTTTTACCAACTAAAATAAAATAAGTCACATTAATGAACAAGCTGACAAAAAATTAAGAATCAAATGACAAAAAATATAAAAGCCCTAAAGCTCTTATATATTCTGCGAGATCAGATGATTGGATTTTCCAACTTATAGCTCATGTAAGATTACTTATATGAACCATGACACAGCTACTTCAGCAATATATGCTCTAAATAATAAATCTGCCCTGAATCATCTGCATCTAGCAATTATTAGCCTTCATTAATTAATGAAAAACTCTTTTTTTTTGGGACATTTAGGCCATTTAAGGCAAACTCACACACACAACGCATACACAAAGACTCGAACCCTGAACCTCTTAGTTGGAAGCCTAAGCTCTCAACCAATAGGCCAAGGAGAAAGGTATTATCATAATAAAAATTTTCTTGTTTAATAATAAATTTATTGTACTTGTTTGCAATACACATTAACCACATTAATTAACTTCTTAAATTCATCAATTAATTGCGATATCACATATCTAAGCAAAACTGTCACTAAAAATTTTCTAATTTGACAATTACAATATAGAGTTGTATAAAAGTATATAGCAGGATCATTTCATTTTAAAAAAATTTATTAAATTAATGTAAGTCTCCCATTCAACGCCCGACTTATAATAAATTATTATTTTTTAATAAATTACTCACTGCTAAATAAGTCAGCAAGGTTGACTCAGCAACTAGTCGCCTGTTTAACAGGCGACTATGCCTTTTTTTTTAAAAAAAAAAATTACAATACTTGATGCTTACTCTAAAAATTTATCCTTTCCGAGAATCTTGAGTCAATATCTGTTGACACCCAAAAAATACACTGAATCATAGATGATGGGAATGCAGTTCAACTTAATTTGTTAGTTGGGAGCTTACACTACTATCCAAAAGGTCTTAAGTTTGAAGCTTGCATATGTAAAGTACATGTCAGTTTGCATTTAATTCACTCAAAAAGGCTGGAAAAAAGATGATGGGAAATAACGAATGCGGTTGTTTCACTAATAGATCTAGTACATCTACTCTCCTAATAGGGTCATCATAAGGTGCCGACATTTTATGTGACCAAACCATCCAATGCGACTTTCTTTAATCTTGTTTGACACTTAAGTTACTCCAACCTTTTCACGTATACACTTGTTTTGCATTTTGTTTCTAAGTTTAAAGCTGCTCAACCACCTAAGCATCCTTGTAACTTAATTTTATACTTCTCTTTTAATGACCTACATTCTATATCACAAAGCATGGCAAGTCTTAATAACATCTTATAAAATGTCCCTTATATTTGAGGGATACTTTTCTATTATATAACAGACTCAATGCATTCCTCAACTTCAACCATTTAACTTGAATTCTACTAATTATATCACCATCTATTTCACCATTGTTTTAAACAATAGACCTAAATTCTACTAATAATATCACCATATATTTCTCCATTATTTTGAATAATAAACCCAATATATTTAAAACGTGTGTTCTTTCTAATGAGTTGATCACCAATGTCACAATCCAACACTAGATCTATATCAAAATTATACTCCAAGCGTTCAATTTTAGATCAGCCTAAATGAAACTTTTAGACAATAAAATGACCTCCATAATTCAATTTTTTTCATTAACTCCCTTTCAAGCTTTATCAAAAAAATAAAAATAAAAACACATGATCAACAAAAAATATAAATCAAGATACATCCTCTTGCAAATGTCTAGTAAAAATATTCATGACTAAAACAAAAAGATAATGGTTGATCCTTGATAAAATTTAATAGAAATAAGAAAATATTTAATCAAAGGACCTTATGTTTGAACACAAACAACTTATGCATACATTTTCTAATTGACTTGAATATAAATATTTTTTAACTTTTTTTTAGAACTCTCCAAAGTACTTCTCTTAAAACTTTATCATTTGTTTTCTATAAATCAATAAAAAGAAGCCTTTTCGCTATAAATATGTCGTCAATGCAGGCAACAACCAAAATTCTCATTTTGTAATCATCATGTAACTCTTATTTTTCTATTAAGATATACCATAGGAGAGTTTCATTAATAGGATCGCTGGCTTGGGGTCACAGAGAACTTTTGCCAGAAATAGAACTAAAGCAACACAAGATTTTATTAAAACTTAGAACTTACAGACTGAAAGCTTCAAATTACTCTGAAAGCTTCTAATGACTCACACTTCTAAAGAGTAGGCTTCAAGGTGACTTCCTTGTGTGTCTTCTCTTCATTACAAAATGTTTATTTATAAGCCAATTTCAGTCCATTATTTTTAGAAAACCAGCCCATGGTTTTCCGAAACCAGCAAACATACTAGAGTGGGGGTGATCCACATCATGTGCTTTCCACCTAATAAAGATGCACCGATTAAACTTTCGGTTCTTTACAGGACAATTATTAAACCTGAGTGGGCCCACTATTAGCTCCACCTAGAGTAAATAGTTTTAGACGGAATTATTGAGTGCCTTGTCAGTTACATCTTCTATGATGCTGACTAGGCTGCCGAGCTGATCTTCATTTCTTTGTACCTGTGGGGCTAGATTACTCAATACGTTATCTTTTTCGGTCATACTTCTGCAGTATCTTCCTTTATTCTCATATATTGTTTGTAGTATATGGAGTTCATGCATGACTTTGAGGACTTGATCTTCCTCTACTCGTCTCGCTGCCTTTCGAAGTCTATCATGTGCTTCCAGGGTGATTGGGTGGTTGTAAGTTTCACATAAGAGTTCCCAATGCAAGTCATAGGCTTCTTTTGGTTGCATTGCGCTACAGTGAGGTCCGAGTGATTTGTCTTCGAGCCATTCGCGCCCAGTTGGCTTGTTCTTCCTGTTTCTTCGTATAGCCGAGAAATCCGGTTATCGTTCTCCTTGAGGACTACTAGGCCTTTTCCCTTTGATCTCCTTTCGGCTGCTTCTAGTGTTCATTCTTCTAATTCTGCAAATATGAATTGAATTGACTCTTCTGCTATGGACCCTGCATAAAGAACAAACATTAATCGAGAAAGAGTATCGACCAGGATGTTGTTTTTTCCATCAATGTGCTCAAAATTCACAGTGATTCCCATGCCATTGATGTAGTCGGTAATGCAATCCATCGAACCCTAGAGGGCTTATTCTGAGCCATCTTGTGATAAAATGAGATAATTGCTTGGCAATCTGTCCTGAGAGTGATTTCCTTCTTATCAAGAAAATGGATTTTAAGGGCACTGAGGGTTTCCATGCATGCATAGATTTAGGCATCTATTGTTGACTTTAATGTGGGGAATTTTCTACTTGCATAAGGGCATATTCTTTCAGAGTTTTGTGAATCACCCTTTTTCTTTTTCCATTTGCAAATTCCACCCCAACCCTCCATGTAACCATCTATTTCTAAAATTATGCAAGCATCTTCTGGGGGAATTTCTAAGTTCGGTAATTCTTAGGCCATATCTTTAATTTTTCTTACTAGTTGCCAATCATGTTCTTTCACTCTTTTATCCCAATGAGGCGATGCTTTTTGATATAGAGGCCCTAGTAAAGTGCCAAGGTTAGGTATATAATTTCTTGTGTAATTAAGAATGCCTAACCAGGAGCGCAATCCTTGTTTCTCTTTTAGCCTTTCATTTGGGAAATCAACAATCCTTTTGATAATATGTGACTAGAGTTTAATTCGTCTGTTCCCGATAGTGGCGCCCAGAAAATCAACTTATGTTGTAGCAATCTTCATTTTATTTGCTGATAGCACCAACCCTTCTTCTACTATCTCCAGAAATTTCTCTAGGTGACAGTTGTTCTCTTGTTCAGAATTGTTGAATAACAAGACATCATCAATGTATACTGTCAAAAAGTCAGAACAATTTGTAAAACAGTTATCCATCATTCTCTGAAAGATGGCTGGAGCATTCTTTAAACCGAATGGCATTATCAACCATACGTATAAGCCTATTGGACTTGATGAAATCCACTTTTTAGATCAAACTTGGAATAGATTTTGCTATTCCCTATCTTCTTCAGTAAGGTATTAATCCCGGGCAGCGAATATTGATCTTTATATGTGTTGTCATTCAGTGATCAGTAGTTGAATACCATCCTCTCTTTGCCTTTGATTTCTTTTCCTGTGGCTTAATCAACTGATGTGCATGAGTTAACTATCATGGCCATGGTTCTATTCCAACTCTTGTTAGGCCGTATTACCTTTAACGCTAGCAAGCCTTTAATGTGTCTTTTGAATTATTCTTGCATGGTGGGTGTCACGTGCTTGAGGGGTTTGTCCTAGATTGTTAGATCGGAGTTTATGATATCTATTTTACAAACTACTCAATTTCGGCTCCAATGTCTTAGCTGGTCTTCCCCAATAAACCCATTATTCTTTAATCTTTGCAAAATTGACTTAAATTTTTGAACAAATGGATTTTTTTTGTGCAGTCTGTTTGAGCAAATCCACTCAGGCTGCAATTCTATGTAAAAATCATAGTCGATTTCTAATTCTGGGATTTGTTTTGCACATATCTCAAATTCAATTGTTGTGTTAATAGGGGTAATTTCTTTGTAGAAGTGACAGTATTACCTTCTATTCTTACTCCACCATTTAGGCTTTGTATAAAATTACACCCTAATAAAATTTGTATCCCATCCTTAACATCCATGTCTAGGCAATAGAATAATGGTATTTTGAAATTATGCCTGTTAATTACCATATTACTCACTTTTACTTCCGTATTTGCTTGTGTGATTGAATTTATCCCGTTGAAAGCTACCTAGTAATTGAGCACCTCTCTTGCTTGCTCTGGCACATCTCCTCGGCTAACACAACATAAGGTTGCGCCAGTGTCTACAATGGCTCTTAAGCTGAATCTTGGAACGCCTGGTACATCAAAAGAGATGATTAGATTAAACAGTCGGTTGATCACCTTTCTTAATGTTTTCTGTGCCTGTCGTTTACTGCTTCATTCAGGATTTTGAGTCCCGACTTTTCTGCATCTCTTTCTTCATCTTCTTGGACTAATTGTTAGCCTCGATCATGTTGCATTAACTCCAATCTTGCTTCTTCCAATTATGGCTCCAGAAGTTTTTGAATTTGAAATTGTAGCTTCTTATTTTCTTCAGTCAAGTGGTCCGCATACTTTAACAAATCTTGGATTAGTGCTTCCTTCAACTGATAGGGCCGTAGAATGATTTCTTTCTGCACAGAAATCATTAGATAGAAGCTAGCACATAGTGGGCATGCTGTGATTTTGCATAATATACAGTGGATTGGCATGTGTATAAAGGGGACCCAATGACACCTTGATTTGGATTCAATTTGATTAAGATTGAGATATGGTTCAAAGGGGACCTCTCTTTGGTCACTTGGGTCAAGCCAAAAGGCTAACCCAAGTGAGCCCAAAGCTTGGGTCTCCAAGAGGGGTCTCTTGGGTGCCCAATGAGTCACCCCTTGGGTTCAAAGGGAATTGGAATGATCTTGGTCAAGTGGTCCATGTAGAATGAGGTGTATGGGCCATTTGGTCAACTTGGCTGACTTGGTCAATTAAGTTGACTTAGGGCCAAGAGTTGGGTCACTTGAAATCCATTTGATCATATGAGTCTAATGGGTGAGGCATCAAAGTGTAGAAAGGTCATTTAGGTCAAAATGACCATTTTAACCCTTAAAGGGCATGAAGGTCAAAATGAGTTGACTTGGTCAACCAAGTTGGCCCATGGTTGGAATTGAGTCAAAGGGGTTCTAAAAATCAATTGGAAGCTGTTCGCTCTAGAAAAATCATATTAAATTTAAAATAAAAAAAATGCGAACCCCGCTCTCACGAACTTATGAGTTCTCTTTAATTTTTTCTAGAGGTAGATTGAATTTAACAATTAACCCGATTTCCCCTGAGAGTAGTGTCAGGGTTTATTTAGATCTGAGTTCTACTTCCTATAAGCGCAAGCCCTCATAGTTAATTACCCCTCCTAACGCATTAGGAGAGCACTCTCGATTAAGGTAGCCCTCATAGTTAATTACCCCTCCTAACGCATTAGGAGAGCACTCTCGATTAAGGATGAAATATACTTAGCTTTGTACAGAAGCACTTGAGAAAGGTTTCAAGGATTGATAATCAAATCAAGTCAAATCTAGGTCAAAGTCCAAAAATCCCCTTAAAGGGTATTTTGGTCATTTTGACCATGAGTCAATTCGGGGCCAAATTGAGTCTGGAATGATGTAGATTATTGTTCAATAAGTCAAAATCAAGGTATTGGAGATGGTCAAAGGGTTTGGAGGGGGCTCCAAGGTCAAATTCCACTGTGTAAGATCCAGTGGCACTGATTGTAAATACGTGAAAGTTTTGCAACCTTTGGAATTAGATTAAGTTTGTAGGGTTAGAATCCTCCAAATGAGCTCAAATTTGGAGGGTTGACACTAGAGACATGTCATATGAATATGAAATTGATAGACCCTGAATCGGATGTCAAAAGACTGGGTTTTAAGATGATGGAAAAAAATCACCTAAAAAGGGCTTTAGGACCTAAGTCTTTAGCCTAAGGGTTATGGGATTAGATTGAATTAAGATTTGGATTGAGTCTAAGGGCTAGGAATTAGGAAGATCCTAGGATCTAGAGCTTAGGGAAGAGTTAAAAGTGACCTCATACAAAAATGAGGTCAACAAATGGACCCCAAATGTGTGTAGCAGATGGAACTTCTGCTGCACACATTGGTGTTGACCGAATGAAAATTTTGAATAGAATTTTAAAAGTGTAAGGGAGGGCATCACCCAATCTTATGTCTACAGGATGCTGATAGAAGACTTACACCTAATAGACAAAATAATTAGAAAACTAAGGTAGAGATTACTAAACCATGGGTCTAAAGAAGGGCGTCACCCAACCTTAGGTCCATAGAATGCTGATAGAAGACTTACTCCAAATGGACAATTCAACTGAGAAACTAAGGTAGGGAATACCTAACCTTTGGTCTAAGGAAGGACATCACCCCACCTTAGGCCTATAGGATGCTAATAGAAGACTTATTCCTAATAGGCAGATTAATTGGGAAACCAAGGTAGGGAATACATAGCCTTGGGTCTAAGGAAGGGCATCACCCAACCTTATGTCTATAGGATGCTGATAGAAGACTTATTCCTAGTAGACAGATTAACTGGAAAACCAATGTATGGAATACCTAGCCTTGAGTCTAAGGAAGGGCATCACCCAACCTTAGGTCCATAGGATGCTGATATAAGACTTACTCCAAATGAACAAATTAACTAGAAACCAAGGTAGGGAATACCTAACCTTGGGTCTAAGGAAGGACATCACCCAACCTTATGCCTACAAGATGCTGATAGAATGCTTACACCTAGTAGACAAAATAACTGGAAAACCAAGGTAGGGATTACCTAACCTTGGGTCTAAGGAAGGGCGTAACCCAACCTTAACTCCATAAGATGCTGATAGAAGACTTACTCGAACTGGACAATTCAACTGGGAAACTAAGGTAGGGAATACCTAACCTTGGGTCTAAGGAAAGGCATCACCCCACCTTAGGCCTATAGGATGCTGATAGAAGACTTATTCCTAATAGGCAGATTAACTGGGAAACCAAGGTAGGGAATACCTAGCCTTAGGTCTAAGGAAGGACATCACCCAACCTTAGGCCTATATGATACTGATAGAAGACTTACTCATAGTAGATAGATTAACAGGGAAACCAATATAGAGAATACCTAGCCTTGGGTCTAAGGAAGGGCATCACCAAACCTTAGGTTCATAGGATGCTAATAGAAGACTTACTCCAATTAAACAAATTAACTGGAAACCAAGGTAAGGAATATCTAACCTTGGGTATAAGGAAGGGCATCACCGAACCTTAGGTCCATAAGATGCTGATAGAAGACTTACTCAAAATGGTCAAATTAACTGAAAACTAAGGTAGGAAATACTTAACCTTTGGTCTATGGAAAGGCATCACCCAACCTTATGTCTATAGAATGCTAACAAAATGCTTACACCTAGTAGACAAAATAACTGGAAAACCAATGTAGGGATTACCTAACCTTTAGTCTAAGGAAGGGCGTCACCCAACCTTAGTTCCATAAGTTGCTGATAGAAGACTTACTCCAAATGGACAATTAAACTGGGAAACCAAGGTAGGGAATACATAGCCTTGGGTCTAAGGAAGGGCATCACCCAACCTTAGGTCCAAAGGATGCTGATAAAAGACTTACTCCAAATGGACAAATTAACTGGAAACCAAGGGAATACCTAACCTTGGGTCTAAGGAAGGGCATCACCCAACCTTAGGTCTAAGGAAGGGCATCACCCAACCTTATGTCTAGAGGATACTGATAGAAAGCTTACACCCAGTAGACAAAATAATTGGAAAACAAAGGTAGGGATTGCCTAATATTGGGTCTAAGGAAGGGCGTCACCCAACCTTAGGTCAATAGGATGCTCATAGAAGACTTACTCAAAATGGACAATTCAACTAGAAAATTAAAGTAGGGAATACCTAACCTTGGGTCTAAGGAAGTGCATCACCCCACCTTAGGCCTATAGGATGCTGATAGAAGACTTATTCCTAATAGGCAGATTAACTGGTAAACTAAGGTAAGGAATACGTAGCTTTGGGTCTAAGGAAGAGCATCACCCAACCTTAGGTCTATAGGATGCTGATAGAAGACTTACTCCTAGTAGACAGATTAATTGGGAAACCAATGTAGGGAATACCTAGCCTTGGGTATAGCACCTAACCTTAGGTCCATTGGATGCAGATATAAGACTTACTCCAATTGGACAAATTAACTGGAAACCAAGGTAGGAAATACATAACATTGGGTCTGAGGAAGGGCATCACCAAACCTTAAGTCCATCGGATGCTGATATAATACTTACTACAAATGGACAAATTAACTGGAAACCAAGGAAGGGAATACCTAACCTTGGGTCTAAGGAAGGGCATCACCGAACCTTAGGTCCATAAGATGCTGATAGAAGACTTACTCCTAGTAGACAAGGAAATCTGGTGGAACTAAGGTAGGGAATACCTAACCTTGGGTCTAAGGAAGGGCATCACCCAACCTTAGGTCCATAGGCTGCTGATAGAAGACTTACTCCAAATGGACAATTAGACTGGGAAACCAAGATAGGGAATACCTAACCTTGGGTCTAAGGAAGGACATCATCCCACCTTAGGCCTATAGGATGCTGATATAAGACTTATTCCTAATAGACAAATTAACTGGGAAACCAAGATAGGGAATACCTAACCTTGGATTTAAGGAAGGGCATCACCCAACCTTAGGTCTGTAGGATGCTGATAGAAGACTTACTCCTAGTAGACAGATTAATTGGGAAACTAAAGTAGAGAATACCTAACCTTGGGTCTAAGGAAGGGCATCACCCAACCTTAGGTCCATAGGATGCTGATAGAAGACTTACAACAATTAGACAAATTAACTAGAAACCAATATAGAGAATACCTAACCTTGGGTCTAAGGAAGAGCATCACCCAACCTTAGGTACATAGGATGCTGATAGAAGACTTACTCCAAATGGACAAATTAACTGAAAACAAAAGTAGAGAATACCTAACCTTGGGTCTAAGGAAGGGCATCACCCAACCTTAAGTTCATAGGATGCTGATAGAAGGCTTACTCCAAATGGACAAATTAATTGAAAACCAAGGTAGGGAATACCTAACCTTGGGTCTAAGGAAGGGCATCACCTAACCTTAGGTCCATATGATGATAATAGAAGGTTTACACAAATGGTCAAATTAACTAAAAATTAAGGTAGATAATACCTAACCTTGGGTCTAAAAAAGAGCATCACCCAACCTTAGACCTATATGATTCTAATAGAAGACTTACTCCCAATAATAGATTAACTGGGAAACCAAGGTAGAGAATACCTAATGTTAGGTCTAAGGAAAGGCATCACCCAACCTTAGGTCTATAGGATGCTGATAGAAGACTTACTCCAAATGGACAAATTAACTTGAAACAAAGATAGGGAATACCTAACTTTGGGTCTAAGGAAGGCATCACCCAACCCTAGGTCCATAGGATGCTGATAGAAGACTTACTCCAAATGAACAAATTAACAGGAAACCAAGGTAGGAAATACCTAACCTTGGTTCTAAGGAAGGACATCACCCAACCTTAGGCCTATAGGATGCTGATAGAAGACTTACTCCTAATAGACAGATTAACTGGGAAATCAAGTTAGGGAATACCTAACGTTAGGTCTAAGGAAGGGCATCACCCAACCTTAGGTCCAAAGGATGCTGATAAAAGACTTACTACAAATGGACAAATTAACTGGGAAACTAAGGTAGGGAATACCTAGCCTTGGGTTTAAGGAAGATATTACCCAACCTTAGGCCTATAGGATGCTGATAGAAGACTTACTCCTAGTAGGCAGATTAACTGGGAAACCAATGTAGGGAATACTTAAACGTGGATCTAATGGTTGGCCCACTCAGGTTTAATAATTGTCTTGTAAAGGACCGAAAGTTTAATCGGTGCGTCTTTATTAGGTGGAAAGCACATGATGTGGACCACCCCCACTCAAGTATGTTTGCTGGTTTCAAAAAATTATGGGTTGATTTTTTGAAAACTATGGGCTGGGATTGGCTTATAAATAAACATTTTGTAATAAAGAGAAGACACACAAGGAAGCCACATTGAAGCCTACTCTTCTGAAGTGTGAGTCATTTGAAGCTACAGAGTCATTTGAATCTTTCAGTCTGTAAGTTCTAAGTTTTAATAAAATTTTGTCTTACTTTAGTTCTATTTCTGGCAAAAGTTCTCTATGACCCCAAGCCAGCGATCCTATTAATGAAACTCTCCTCTGGCATTAGAGCCATGTCGGGCTAAACTCCTATAATTCTAGGTGATACTTAGAATTATATATGGCGTCAATACAGGCAACAACCAAAATTCTCATGTTGTAATCATCATGTAACTCTTATTTTTCTATTAAGAGCTACATTTAATGACAACCCACTTTTTTTGAACCAAAATATTACGTTATACTAGAGTATAAAACTAATTGAAAATAAAATGATAAAAAACATCAAAAAATTAATAAATTCAAAATACATAATTTTTATGCATGCTGATCCAATTAATGAATGCATCCTGTAGTTGTCACTACATGTTTCATTTTGATTTGATTGTAGTGGATTGCAACCCTTCTTCCTCTGACACTACAACAATATCCCCTCCCCTCCCCTCCCAATAAGGAAACCTAGGGCAACTGAAAATAGAATAAAACTCCAAAAACACCTTTCATGAAATAACATGGTAGATCCCCATATCCCATTCAATAATCCCTGCAACTTTGCGAGAGATTATTTTGTGCGGACACCGGACGGTAGAACCGTCTGTTTCACGATTCAGGTACCGATATAAGCTCGGTACCGAACGTGGCGGTTTTTCATTGCTAGTTGGAATCCGAACAGAATAATTTTTCCAACTTTGCAGCACAGATGAACCTATTGATTAAATCCGCATAAAAATTAGACTTCCCAATATAAGAAAGATCTAGTACAATAATAAAAGCATCCACTTGAAACATATGGGCTAATTAATGATACTAAATGCTCACAATTTACTAGATCACTATCCAGCACAAAAATGACAGAGCCTATAGGAATATGATCACGACATTTTCATTACATATTATGAGCTAAAACATTGCAGATTACTAATTTATCCTTACAGGTACAACAAAAGTCAGGAATATATAAAGAATTATATAGATCAGATCAATCTTTTAGATTATTCTTTATCATGATTTGGTTATGGTTTCTCAAGAAGGAAGTGGATAATTACAAAGTGTAATTCGATTAAAAAAAATTAAAAATCAATGTTGAACTGTGAGATATTCATGTGAAAATCGTAGTTCCGAAATTTTTAGATGCTATGCTGGGCGGAAACACGTCCAAAAATGCGTGAAAGAGCATGAGTAATAAGAAAAAAATGGAAAGAGAGAGAGAGAGAGAGAGAGAGAGAGAGAGAAAAGAGATCTACAAACTGCAAATTCATGGATCATACAATGTTGAAGGAATAGCTCCCTGGATCTAACTAAATTCATAGAACAGAACCACAACAAATTAACAATGGGAGTCATCTATCCAAATAAATTCAAAATAAGAGGAAAGACACTTTTTCGACCTCAAAGCTTCAAGACAGGCAAATTCTATTAGTCAAACCAGCTCTAGTTCCAGAAAACCTCACATTTACATATAAAAACGAGTGAAAATATCATAATCCAAAGAATGACCTATCCCACCGAACCTTGCCGAGATCTGAAAATCCACCAATAGATCCATCTTCTACCAACATCATACTCGAACAGTTCCAGCTGAAGCCGCTGAAGAGGCAGCGTTACCGATGAAAGACAGGAACCCGGAGGCGGAGGCAGTGGGTTCCTGATCATCGAGGAATAGATCCTCCGGAACACGGAACGCGCCGTGGACACAGATGATGGCGGCGCCCACCATGACAGCGGAGATGAGGAGCGAACCAACGGAGGTTAGGAATATGGCCAAGAAAGTGATAATTATGAGCGCGAATAAGGTCTCGCGGTCGGAGAAGGTACGGCCAAGGATAACAAGAGGAGGATCTGAGGGTCGAAAGAGGTAGAAGAAGCACCAGGAAGAAAGAAGGGAAAGGAGGACGAGAAGGGAGAAGGGGTGGGAAAGGAGGGAAAATACGAGAACAGATGCAAGGAAGGCAAGGTAATTGACGCGGAAATATGAGTAGTTCTTTCGGACGCGAAAGGCGGCGTCGGTAAGGGACTCGGGTCGGGAAAAGGCGGAACGATCGTAAAGCTCGTACCACGGACGGCGATTTGCAAGAGAGCGGCGGATTGAACTGGATAGACGGGAGAGGAAGAGGCGAAATGCAGGCGTGGAGATCGGGGCTCCAGTGCCGACAGCGGTGGACGGTAGTGGAGACGTGCCGGATGGAAGATTTGTGGAGACAGGGAGGATTGGTGGCGAAACCGTGGAAGCCATCGGATACCGAGAACTAGGGTTTTCAAAAAACAGACGAGATGAAGATATGACCTCCGATTGAGCCGAACGAGCAAGAAGTTATTCCGTGGGGAGTTCGAACGAGCAGGGCAAGTTCTTCCTGGTTGCAGCTATGTCAATATACAAAGGGGTGTCAGTACGGATCAACAGGTCGAATTCAGAATTAATTCGGTACTGTTCGGGTCAACTCGAACCTGACTCAATTTTAAAAACGGGTCATATTTCCGGGCCTGAACCCAACTCGATTCGGGTCCGGGTCAACCCGACCTAACACGAATGCTCGAAGTTGACATAAAATTGCTAATTTTCGAGTCATAAATAGGGTTAATCTTCGATTTTCGGGTCTAAATCGGGTCAAAACGGGTCAATCTCGGGTTTTCGAGTCAAATATGAATTTTCGTGTCATTTCCGGGTCATATTCGGGTTCCTGGGTCAACCCGAACCAGTCCCGATTTTTAAAACAGGTTGATTTGTTGAACTCGAACCCGACCCGTTTCGGGTCCGGGTTGACCCTAACCCGGATTTTTTCACGGTCGAGTTCGGGTCATGTCAAAAATTGACACCTCTAAATATACATGACAAAATAAGTAAGGGAGCTAAATAAGAAATTTTGTCTTTATATATCCTATAATATTTAAAATTGGAGAAATATATTTATTATATTTTTTGAAAAACATGTTAAAAAATTGTGCTCTGATTCTAGGGATACATGAGTCGAGCTCAGTCGAGTTGAGCTCGAGTCAGGGGTGTTCGAGTCGAGCTCAACTATCAAATATCAAGCTTGAGCTCAAGCTAGAACTCAAGTCGAGCTAAAAAATCGAGCACAAGCTCGACTCGTTCCACCGTAAACGAGTTCAAGCTGCTCGTCGAGCCTCTAACGCAGTCCAATTCGCCTTCCAACACACGCGATCCTTGAAAAATAAATTCACGGCCTTTTATTACTGCAAAGATAGAGGGTATTGAGATTTAAGTAGTTTGTTGGGTTTGCTAGAGGGAGAATAAGTGTTAGGTTGTTAACATTTCTTACAGTGGCATAGCGGGATTTGAAATTTCTCGAAATACGTGTGGATTTTAAAATTGCAACAGGCAACAAATATGATTTTTGAGCAAGGGCGATCCTCGGGGTTAAATTAGGGCTCTGCTAGGGTTTTGCTTCCTTTGAGTTTCTTTGGCCGCCACCGTCTTCCCCACGGGGATGAACTCCCCTGGGATGTCCTCTCTCCTCCATCCTCCGCATAACACTCCCTCCTCCTCTTCTACTCTCCTTCTTAGAGACTGGAAGAGCCTTATTGCCACCCAACCGCTTGTTTCAAACGACTTTACCTCCTCGATCACTCACTTCCCCACTGAGAATGCTACTGCTAATTTCACCTTCACACAGTTCAACGCCGGAGCTCCCAAATGGTCCCTCTCCATGGTCGGCTACTCCATTGGTAGATGTCCGTACTATGAAGCTTTGCTCACCACAATCAAAAAAGCCTGGAACTTGAAAGGATCCCTCTCTTTGCTTACCCTAGATGATGGCTTCTTTCTTCTCAAGTTCAACAACCGTGAAGACTTTGACATGGCATGGTCGGGTGGCCCATGGTTTTTTTTGGAAAACCCTTCATCCTGCAGAAGTGGACTCCGGACTTCATCCCTGTTCGCGAGGAGTTTCCTTCGATCCCTCTTTGGATCAAAATAAAAAATTTTCCGCTCTCTTGCTGGACGCCGGAGGGCATCTCCAAGATTGCGAGCTGTGTCGGTATCCCGCTTGCTGTTGACGCGCTCACAGCGGCCAAAACGAGACTTACCTTTGCCCGGGTGTGTGTTCAGGTGAGTAGTTCTTCGCCTTTGCCGGATGTGATATACTGCACCGTGGATGACAAAACCTTTCCACTAACTGTGCTCTACGACTGGAAGCCTTCTCATTGTTCCTTTTGTAACTCCATCATGCATCCCCCCAATGCTTGTCCTAAAAACCCTTCTCCTCAACCTACCGAGACCTCTCAAAACCGTGGCAGAAGCACCAGCCGCAAACCCAGGAAGCTACCTCCGAGACTGAACATTCCTAAACCCCCCAGCTCTACTACCTTTCAGTCTCAACCTCCTCTACCTTCTACCTCTCTTTCAACAGACCCTCCTACAGCTAAGGCTGTTGAAATAGCCACTCTTTTACCTAACCTTAACTCCCCTTCGGAGGACTTTATTCCACCCTCACCTACCACCATTATTAACCCCTCCCCCACTGTGCATTCTTCTCCACCTGTCCCAACAAAAAACAAATTTGATGCACTTATTGACCAAAACCCTTTACCAGAGTCCTCCTCCGTCCAGTCAGACTCCCAACCTTCTTCTTCTTCCACTCACCACGAACAACCGGATAAACCACCATATTCAACCAAAAAAACCAATGCTTCCAGCAACAGCCAACCTAATCCTCAAAATGTGGCTATCAATTCTACTGCCAAGTCGACAAGAGCCAAATCGGCCAAAAAGGCCACCACCCCCAACTCAAAACCCCAATGACCAGGTTCCCCCACTTGGCGTCCTGGAACACCCGTGGGTTCAACAGCCCTGACTAAGTTTTCTGTTGTAAAAATTTAGTTTAAAACTATAACCTAGACTTACTTTTCCTTCTGGAAACTAGAATCACCCCTCCCTCCCATGAAAACCTCTGGTTCAATTCTACACATTCAGTTTTTCCTACTGAAGGCTCTTCTGATAATTTTGAATTAGCTTCTCCCGGTCGTATATGGATTAAATGGAATTCATCTACTATGAGTTTCAAACCTGCTTTTACTTCGAGTCAGTTAATTCATGGTTCGATTTTTTTTGACGCTGCGGAAGTTTACCGTGTTTCTGTTGTTTATGCTTCGAGTTCTTTGGAAGAAAGGCTCATGCTTTGGAAGGACCTTACTGATATTGCCTTTGATATTTCTACCCCCTGGATTATTCTCGGGGACTTTAACTGCTGCAGATCTTCTAATGAGAAAGCTGGTGGCTCTATACTCCCGAATTGCAAAGTGTTTGACTTTAACAATTTGATTTTTAATATTGCTGTTCATGATCTTTCCTCTATAGGCCATTATTTTACTTGGTTTAACCAAAGGACCGTAATCCGATTCACATTAAGCCTGATAGGATGTTGGTTAATGACTGCTGGCTTGGAAATTTTCCTTCCTCATTCTATATTGTGGATAACCCTCAGATTTCGGATCATTCCCCTATCATTTTGCAAATTGATCTAAGCAAACACAAGAATCATCGGTTTTTATTTAAGAACTATTGGTTGTCTAACTTTGAGTTTTGGGATACTCTTATCTAGGTTTTTTCTTAAAGATTCCATAGCAGTCCGATTTATGCTTTTTTCCAAAAGCTTAAGACTCTCAAGATCAGTATCAAATCCAAGAATTAGGTTTCTTCCAATACCCTTCACCATGATATTTCTGATCTTACTGCCTCGCAAAACTCTTTTCTATGTCAAATTCAGGCTAATCCTCTTGATCCTGATCTCAATTTGGCTCTTAAAGACATTAACCACAAGCTTGCGGTTAAAAATTCTGACTGGTCCTCATGGATTATACAAAGGGCAAAAGCAAAATGGCTTTCGAATGGGGAGGATGATTTGAAGTTTTTATATTCCAGGATCAATGTTAGACAAAATTCAAATCAGATCAAATGCATTACCACTGATGAGGGGACTTTCTCCAATCCTGCTGATATTAACAAAGCCATTGTTAATCACTTTCATAAGCTTTTTAACACTGTGCCCCCTCTTAACTCCTCTAGCTGGGCTACTCCCATTCATCAGCAACTCCCTCCCAGCTTTATTCCTCTTTTGGTTGCTCCGGTCAATGTGGATGAAATTAAGATTGTTGTCTTCTCTTCCCCTGCTTGCTCGGCTCCTAGCCCGGATGGTTATACGTTCGAATTTTACAAATCTACTTGGAATATTATTGGTAGACAACTCTGTGAGGCAGTGTTGTCTTTCTTCTCTACTGGATCTATGCCAAAGCAAGCTAAAGCTACAGCTATTGCCCTTATTCCTAAAAGACCTCATGCCCAGGATATTATGGATTACAGACCTATATCCCTTTGCAACACATTCTATAAGATTATTGCCAAGATCCTTGCTAATAGAATGAAAGATGTTATGCCTTTTATCATCCATCCAAGCCAATCTGGTTTCATCAAAGACAGAATCATTTCTGATAACGTTCTTCTAGCGGTCGAGCTTCTTAAAGAATTCAACTCCAATCACAAGTAGCAATTCTTTTGTGCTAAATTTGACATTCATAAGGCATTTGACACTGTCTCTAGGAAATTCCTGATTGATCGTTTGCTGGCTAAGGGATTTCCTGAAACCTTTGTCTCCAGGATCTATGGCTGCATTTCTGACGTTTACTTCTCTGTTTCCATTAATAGGGGGCTTGAGGGCTACTTTGCTGTTGCAACCCATGACCCCGAGCTTGAGATTTTGATGATGCCAAATAATGAGTATTTTGGAACAACCTTTCATTGAATATTATTTTATTTGCTATTTTCCTTGAGCACTAACATTTCAGGAAGATCACTAGTGACTCAGGAAAAAAGGAAGACTCAAGACCGGGTAGATTAGGAGTATG